CACACACACACACACACTGTTTCCTCCCCTTGTTAACGTGTCCCTCTCGTCCTCAGCGGAGACCGTGGTGAATGTTTTAGACTTCAAGAAGGAGGTGGGGCTGTGGCACGCCGTCCTCACTGTAAGAAAAACACACTTATATTAACTTCATATATTATATACTTTACTGTCTTGCTTTATCATTTTAAACTGACTACTATCACTACTTTTTCCCATACAGTATAACTTAAACTGCATTATCCAAACGTTGCCTATTCTGACAAATGAATCTGTCTTTCTATGTTTCTACCTTAGCTCTAAACTAAATGTTTTGCTTTAGTTTAGATTAACCCGTTCTCTTGAAACATGGATTAATGTCTCCCTCTTCCTCCTGTCAGAGTGTGATGAACATGATGCACGTCATCAGTATCCCGTACGCTCTGATGAAGGTCAACCCTCTGTCCTGGATCCAGAAGGTCTGCCAGTACAAAGGTAACACGTCTGCACAGAACCAGGAATACAATTAGAAAGAACATCAGAAATACAAATTATATTCTTGGTCTGTACTTTAAAACTGATTTCTAGTAACTGCACACTTTTTATTTTATTTATTTTTTAGCATTATTTTGTATTTGCCATATGTCTAATGCTGGGGAATTATTGGTTGTGTTTGTGTAATGTGATACATGTAAAAAATGTTTAATATAACTCAGAAATAAAACCATTTCAGGACATTCTTCATCTGTATATGTTGAATTATTATGTTATGTTGAATAATATCGTGTGTGTGTGTGTGTGTGTGTGTGTGTGTGTGTGTGTGTGTGTGTGTGTGTGTGTGTGTGTGTGTGTGTGTGTGTGTGTGTGTGTGTGTGTGTGTGTGTGTGTGTGTGTGTGTGTGTGTGTGTGTGTGTGTGTGTGTGTGTGTGTGTGTGTGTGTGTGTGTGTGTGTGTGTGTGTGTGTGTAGCTAAGGTGGCGTGTGTGAAGTCTCGGGACATGCACTGGGCTCTGGTGGCTCACAGGGAGCAGAGAGACGTCAACCTGAGCTCCCTGCGCATGCTGGTGGTGGCCGACGGTTCCAATCCCTGTAAGAACACACACTCTGAGAACACACACACACTCTGAGAACACACACTCTGAGAACACACACACACTCTGAGAACACACACACACTGAGAACACACACTCTGAGAACACACACACACTCTGAGAACACACACACACTGAGAACACACACTCTGAGAACACATACACACTCTGAGAACACACACACACTCTGAGAACACACACACACTGAGAACACACACTCTGAGAACACATACACACTCTGAGAACACACACACACTCTGAGAACACACACACACTCTGAGAACACACACACTGAGAACACACACACTCTGAGAACACACACTCTTAGAAGAACACATACTCTGAGAACACACACACACTCTGAGAACACACACTCTGAGAACACACACACACTGAGAACACACACTCTGAGAACACATACACACTCTGAGAACACACACACACACTGAGAACACACACTCTGAGAACACACACTCTGAGAACACACACTCTGAGAACACACACTCTGAGAACACACACTCTTAGAAGAACACACACACACTCTGAGAACACACACTCTTAGAAGAACACATACACACTCTGAGAACACACACTCTGAGAATACACACACACTCTGAGAACACACACTCTGAGAACACACACTCTTAGAAGAACACACACTCTGAGAACACACACTCTGTTATATTTATTCACGTTCTCCCCAAACTGCGAACACAATTTGCAAAAAAAACGTCAAAGAACACGATAAACAAAAAGTTATATATGATTTGACCGAAAGCATTACTTTTTTTCATAGATATCCTGATTATACAATTACTCTGATACGTATATATACTAGTTATTCATATATATGAATTGTTGTACTTGTGTCTCAGGGTCGATCTCGTCGTGCGACGCCTTCCTGAACGTCTTCCAGACTAAAGGTTTGAAACCAGAGGTCATCTGTCCCTGCGCCAGCTCCCCTGAAGCCCTGACTGTAGCTCTGAGGAGGTACACACACACACACACACACGCACACACACACACACACACACACACACACACACACACACACACACACACACACACACACACACACACACACACACACACACACATACACACACACATACACACACACACACACACACATACATACACATACACACACACACACTTACTTAAGTTACTTAAAGGGGACCTATCATGCAAAATGCACTTTTGTACGTCTTTTATACATGAATATGTGTCCCCGGTGTGTCAGGGAACTCACCCCTCTCTCTTTTCTTCCATACCCACATCTCTAAAAACGGGGCTGCAACGGATCTGATTATTATTTGAATGTTTCATACGTCAGAAAAGGGGTGCTCCGCCGATATGGGCAACTCTCCACCTATCAGGGGAATGAGAGACCGCTCCAAAGCACTGGAGACGCTGTAGTACATATGCCAGGCCTGTAAGTGGCGCTGTAGTCTGCCACAAAAGCAGCGAAGAAGACTTCTCACAGAATCAGCCCTTGCAAAAACAGGGCTGGAAAAGAGCAAATAGAGCGAAATGAGGCATGGCTAAAATGCATGATCTGTTTGGTATTTTGAAAAAAAAAACTTCACAGACATGTTTTATATAGGTATGGCCCTACAATATATTATTCAAATATAGCATGATAGGTCCACTTTAACTTTGCAGAATAAAAAATAGGTGAAAGAGAATATCAACTGTGTGTTTGACTATAGATTCAATGAATAGTTGTTAATGTTATTATTGAAATATAATCCTGGTGTTTTACAGCATTGACTCCTTCAATTTCAAACAGAAATGATAGCATTAAAACAAACTTTTTGGGTTAATAAACTCACTTTTCTATGGCCTTATCTCCTACAAACACTTTCCACTTACATATATACTTACATATATTTATTCTCCACAGTAATTAAGAGTATTTTTAGCGCTTTCACCTTCCTTAAAAGACCCCCTACTCTTTTTTTGGTTCATTCATATACGTGACTTTACAGTTTTGTGGCTTTTCAAACCCTAAACTTACAAACCCTCCTCCTCTTTCATCGACCACATGCGCTGTAATTTATGCTCTTAATTATGACTCTGTAAAGTGTGTGTGTGTGTGTGTGTGTGTGTGTGTGTGTGTGTGTGTGTGTGTGTGTGTGTGTGTGTGTGTGTGTGTGTGTGTGTGTGTGGTGTGTGTGTGTGTGTGTGTGTGTGTGTGTGTGTGTGTGTGTGTGTGTGTGTGTGTGTGGTGTGTGTGTGTGTGTGTGTGTGTGGTGTGTGTGTGTGTTGTGTGTGTGTGTGTGTGTGTGTGTGTGTGGTGTGTGTGTGGTGTGTGTGTGTGTGTGTGTGTGTGTGTGTGTGTGTGTGTGTGTGTGTGTGTGTGATGTGTGTGTGTGATGTGTTAATGAGTTAGCTCTTCTGAAAATAAAGTGAGTTCATTGCTACCACCCCCGCTGAGGCAAAGTGCTTTTTATTAGCCTGTGTGTGGCACACACACACACACACACACACACACACACACACACACTCATGCTTTACTGTACTTAAGAGGACCCTCATTGACAGGCTGCTCACATTACCTAATATGTATTACATTTTAAACCTCAATTTGGTTCTGACCTTTAACCTACATCTCCATAAAAAGCCTGAAAAAGTTGTTTAAAATGGTAAAAACAGCCAGAAAGGTTTCCCCTAATTTTGCTAAAATATATACAGACTTTCCAAAAATGCCTCCCCTTTCCAGCTGGGGTGGAATATAACAAAGTACATTTACAAAGTACTGTACTTAGGAACGTTTTTGAGGTACTTGTACTGTGCTTTATTACAATATTGTGCTACATTTACAAGAAGAAAGTTTCCACCTCCCCTAAGAGATATCGCCCTTCATAAATGTCTCCCAATTGTTCCGTAAAAAAGGTTCCTACTTACTCACTTGGATTAGATTAGATATACTTATTGATCCCAAATAGTTTTGTTTTGTTGTTACAGCAAGAATGCAAAAAGACAATACAAAAACCAGACAGTAAACATGTAGATTTGACCACAGAAAGATTACAGACCAAATAAATACTAACCAACTAGACTACAAACATAAAATATATACTTTATAACGTGAAAAGGAACTTCTACTCTGTTTCTTCTTGCACTATTTCTATTGTTTTAAAAAAAATGTCCATTGTTGGAGGAGCCATATCTTCACTGTAGCTGCTGTGCATTTGACAATAAAGCCTTTGAATCTTTCCAAGAGATGTTCTTACTCTCAGGATCTCAAGTTTGCGATCACAATGAAAGAAAGTGAATAGCACCTGTTGCTCCTCCTCCTCCTCCTCCTCCTCCATGTGATCATGTGACCTGCCTCTCCCCCTGCAGACCGCTGGAGGAGGGCTGCTCCCCCCCCGGCCGAGGCGTGCTCTCCATGCAGGGTCTGAGTCACGGGGTGATCCGGGTGGATTCTGAGGAGAAGCTGTCGGTGCTGACGCTGCAGGACGTGGGCTCCGTGATGCCCGGAGGTGAGGGGGGGGGGGGGAAATCAACCTGGTATTACGATGTGTTCATGATTACAGATGGAGGTTCTGGTGGAGAACCCACATATCACTTTATTATTATATTTATTGTTTGAAAAATATCACTGGTCACCGGCTTGATCTTCAATCTCAGGATCCATGTATTTGTGATCCTCTCCAGAATGGAAGTAGTCATCACATACAGAGCATCAACTAGTTCCTGAACAGTGTCCTTCACATGCTGATATCCAAGAGAGGGAGTTACACAGTCACAAGATGGAGGAATAGAAAGCAGTATTCAATGTTTACTTCAGATTAGCTCCACGTCAATGATCATGCTTGTCATATGTCTATCTCCATAGAGGCTGAATCATCATGTTAATCACATAGCTATCATATGCCTCAAACAGTCCTGATGCTCTTCTAGGTAATCATACATCCTGTCATGT